ATTGCGTATCCACATCAAAGGAAATTCGTGACAACTTCAATTTTGGAGTTTAGAAATATCAATGTAATAGTATTCTATGTATGTTAATAACAAAATGCAGCATGATGGTTCTTTTAAAACCAGAGAGAAAAGAATGAGCACGAGAAGATTACTTAGAAACGCCAACTCCATATGTACCGTTTGTTTTTTAAAAAGGAAGCAACGTTGATACCATGTTAAAGTGTATTAAACCAGTATAAAGGCAAAAAGATCCTTTTCCATTATTTTTTTATGTTTGAAATACTTCCCAAATTAATGAGTGAGTAAGTTAAGTCTGATCAGTTGCCACTGAGTAGATTCTGACTCGTGGTGAACCCCGTGTGGGTCAGAGTAGATCTGTGTTCTACAGGGTCGTCGAGGTTATGATAAAAAATGAGTCACGGGACCTGAATAGATTTGAACTGATAACGTGTTGGTTAGTAGTGCAGCCATGAACCCTTTGGGCCACACGGAGATTCCAAACGAAGTCCAGCACCTCGAACACAAACCATCAGTGCGCTTTGCACGGTGGGCGGTTTGAAGGCACCAGCACGTCCGCAGCAGAAAGAAGGGCTCGCTCCGGTAAGGATCACAGCCTTGCGAGCCCACAGCAGCAGTTGTGCTCAGTCTTTGAGGGTCCCTATGAGTCATAATTGACTCAATGGCAGTTGGTTAGGTCTTAAAGACATTTAGAACATTTTCTAAACATAGAAGTAGGTGAAGCATGTAAAGAACATAATCTTCAAGTTCACCTTGACCTAACTGGGAGAAAAATGACACAGAACAGTTCATCTTTGTAAACTAACATTGAAAGGTACATCTAGACAACATCCCTAATTTCTAATCTGGAAGAAAGCATGCATTATTTGGCTACTCTCTAACCCTGGAGGAAAGACAAACTTACACTACTACTGGGAGACATGCTGACCTTTTGCTATAGACAAGGTGACAAATTCACATAGAAGCCTCAATTTTCTACTCACCTACTAAAGAAGACAGAGATGACCTGAAAATCTGTTTGATGTCAATGACCTTGGATTCTAATTACTAGGAACCTTTACCCAAGATCCAGTTGTGGAAGGCTATGCCTCCTCCCTGAGGCTACTCATTCATGGTAAGTGCATGAAATCTAAAGATTTGAACGCTAACCAACATTGTAACTCTTAATTCTGATTCTCTGGTTCTAAATGAACATTGTGTGGCCTTAAGTTGTGTGCCTTTCCATGACTCCCTTTCAGTAGACTAAGTGACTTTACACATGTGAAATCTTAGTACCTACACTACACCTATGACATCAGTGAGTCGTGAAAATGGTTAGTAAGCTCCAGGGATTCCCTTAGCACTGTGATTCTACTTCACGGAGAGTAAAACCCACAGCAATGCCTGCTGATCTTTCGAAAAATCAGCCCTGGAAAACCCCATGCCGCACACCTCCAAGTGAGACGCCCAGTGTCGGCATGAGTTAGAGTGGACTCCAGAGCATCTATTTGTCCTCCATATCCTGGGAAAATTCCCCTTCTCTCCTTTCTTCGTCTTCAGAGGAAAACGCTAATGTCAGCTTTCTGACTCTAGTTCATGTTTTAAAAATTATACCATCTATCTATATCATCTATCACTCTATCTGTCATCTATCACTCTCTCTATCTTCATGAGAATCTATTGTCATCGAGTCAATTCTGATTCATAGGGACCCAGTAGGATTTCTGAAGCTGTAATACTATAGAAGTAGACTGATACATATTTCTCAGATAAAGCATCTGGTATTGAACTACAAACCTCTCACTTAATCACTGTACTTCCAGGGTTACTTATACTTTATATGTTGTATTAATATAATAGAAATTATATTATATATAATATTTAGTTACTTCATACACCCATGATGTATTTTAAAATATTCCATAAAGACCGAGCCTGTTTACTTTTATATTAATCTCCAATGAATGAAAAACTTCAATGTACTCATTATCCTTGTGAGTAACATGTGTTTAACATTTTTTGCTACCAAGGATATATGACAGTGAACACACAGTTCCCCTGCAGGCAGGCAAAATGCTTTGTTTTGGTTTTCTCTAGGCTGTGTGTACAAATGTGGAATGGCTTCCCAAGTTCTTCTGCAAACTTAGAGTTCACATTTCTCAGAAAACCTCGTCTCTGTCCTGGGGTACGCCTTGGCCTCATTGTGAACAGGAGTGGGATGAATTTCTATTCAGGCTCTGTTAATTTTCTCATTTTTCACATGTCAACCCAGCTTTACTCTCTATTAAAGCTATGGGGAATTACCTGACAAAAGCCATATGTCAGGCTCCTGTCAGAAGAAACTCAAAGTCATATCCAGCTAAAATCTATCAAATGCTCTGATGAAAAGCAATAGTTATGAAAGATCACTTGGAAAACTATAGCGCATTCATTATCCCTGATACTTGACTCTGTATTAAATTAGATAAACAAAAGACATGAAATTAGGCTTCTAGCCTAGATCCTTGCTACTCCAGTATGGTCCTTGGACTGGCAATATTGGCATCACCTGGGAGCTGGTTATAAATGTAGACTATTATCACAATCTATTGGAAAGAGATGTATATATTAACAAAATTCTCAGGTGATTCAGCTGTATTAAGAATGCCAAAATAATGCCTTATTTTGTTTCTGATATTTAGCTTTCTTCTTCTTTTACTTTAATGTATACAGTAAAAATAATGTTTGAGTTATTAGCCATTATATCAAGAATAAAATTTTAATGAGGACCTTCCAAGAAAACAGCAACAACAAAAGATGTATCTGATCTTCATGTTCAAAATAAATTTACTTCTACTGAATAATAATTTTATTTTAGTATTTGAAGCATTGGAAAATATATAATTGAACACATCTCTTTTCCTTTAGCTGCCTACAACCCAGAATGGGACCAGCTGTTAAGAAATATATAAGCTTTTATAGTAGCCATTTGAATTAGTCTCATCACTGGCCTTTTGTTATGTCTTTTTTAATGTCTCGGTGTTTATTGTTTTCCACATTTTCACATATTTAATACATATTTTCTAATTCCATCGCAGATATCATCATGAGTTCTTATCACTTATGTTTGGAACAAGAGAACTAAGGAATAGAAAATTGGTGCTCTTGTTCTTAGGTACCTTTGCACTGGTTCTGACTCACAGCCACCTATGCACGCCAGAACAAAACCCTGCCTGCCGGTCCCGCACCATCCTCACAATTGATCTTATGCTTGAGCCCCTTTGTTGCAGCCTTGGTGTCAAACCATCTTGTCAAGGGTCTTCTTACTCATGGCCTCTCTACTTCACCCAACATGAAGTCATTCCCCAGGGACTGGAGCCCAAGGCTTGGCATCCTTGTCTCTAAGAAGCTCTGGCTATCCTCATTCCAGGACAGTTTTGTTTGTTCTTTTGGCACTCCACAGTACTTCCAATAATCTTTGCTCACACACAATTCAAGTGCAATGCATAGAATAATAACTGATATCTAATTATACCAAATATTATAGTAGATCGTTGTTTTGATGGCACAATATATTCTACATTGGTATTATCCCATAAAGTACCGACAGTCAATGAACAAATCCCCCAAACACCTCTTTCTGATGGAGTCTGACATTCAGGTTAATATAATAGGAAGTTAGAAAGTTATCTTCTGCTATGTATAAATATTTTGAAAAAATACAGCACATTTACAGAATGCTACACGAGGCTAACATAAAATTTCAGTGTCATTATTATGTGAAGCTGATCTACATGGTAGTGATTGTTATAATCACGAGGAATGAGTTTGCTTGTGCTTTGCATTACAGCTTAATCCAACATTTCTAAAATTGCTCCAAGTTGTTCAGTTCTCATAGAATGTAATTTTGAATATTCACTCCCTCATCAGCCATAATTGAAATGTAGCCTACAGGGAGTTGTTCTGGTTAGTTGCTGTTTATTCTGACTCATGGCAAACCCATGTGTATAGAATAGAACTGCTCTATCGGGACTTAAAGTCTGTAACCTTTCTACCGAATATTGCCACGCTTGTCTTTGAAGGCACTTCAGAGTCTGTTCAATCTGCCAATCTTTCAATTAGTGGTTGAATATTTTACTATTTGAGTCACCCAGAAATCCTGCAGCCTAGACATGACTGGGCTTCAAATCAGTAGATATGAATTAAAACTGTTGTGTTTTTTTTAACTTGTTTTCAATATGACCTTGATCGAGGTACTTATTTGCCCGCAGGTTTCCCTTTCTATACAAGACAAACACAATATTGACTTCATATTTGTTGAGATATTTGTAGGAGGTAAGCTATTTTGAAAGGCATGATGTCACAGAGGCTGCTAAAAAGCACCAGTAATTCTCAGTGACTGTTAAAAATTTGGTATTATTTCATTGAAATGTCTAAAAATTACAGAGTTAGAGAATGTCTAGAAAATATTCTCTATTGAATCATAATTTTAATACTTTCAGACTCGTCCACGGGCATTATTAGCTCATTCCAACTCATAACACCTTGTAGGACAAGAAGGATGACTCCTTGGGGTTCTGAGACTGGAACTCCTGAAGGGAGCAGACAGCAGCACCTTTCTGCCATTCAACAGATGGTGGGCTTGAATCTCTGACCTGGTGGTCAACAGCCCCGTCCTCGACCCAATACTCCACTGAATACTTAATTTAACAAATTTCTTAGCTCTGAGCATCTTAGGTCAATTGTGGTCTTCTGTTCTTATAAATAACGCTCACTCTACCCATATATTTTTGCGTGCTTTCCTTATGATTCCCGTATGTACGCATTTTGTAGCAATAAAACCGTTGGATTGAAAGACAGGACTATTTCAAGGTCTTGCTATAAATTGCCAAATTGCCTGTTGGAACACTTTACATTCTACTCAGCATAGGTGAGTTTATTTGATTTCAAATCAGGAACGCTATAAAATAAAATTAACTATATCAAGAATCCTGCCTTATGTAATGAGAAGACAATACACTTACCATCTTGTTTGAAGGCATCAGAGGAGTGGTAGAGATTAACAGGGGAATAATAATGTTGAGCTGCTCCTCTCCAACTGGGTGAAGAAACGCTTAATGTTCCTAAGGAAGGGCTATTGTAGCGCGGTCTTGTCTTGGAACCAGAGAGGGTTGAAGCTGAGCTTTTCTTAATTCTTAGCAAAGCAGCATAGGAAGTAGGAAGACCAGGAAGAGCTTCAGAATGTTCTGTCAAAGCAAAAAGAGATCCATTTGAGGTACTAGCAACTGAGAGCTTCTTGTTCCTGTTATGATAACTGGAAAAAGCAGAGAGGGAAAGGACGAGTGCAGGAAAAGACAGGCTCCTTATGCGACCCTCCCAGTGGCTGAATTGGCCCCTGGTGTCTGGCAAAAAGGACACAGCATAGACTGGGGGCGTCCAGAAGTCCATGCACTTGGAACAATGAAGTCAGGCTATAGAAAGTCAATGGCCGAAAACCCACTGGGATGCCGGCCAGTAGTGGAAGATGCACCATTAGCAGAGTAAAGGCCAAGGCTTCATTCTAGTGGCCCTCAGATTAGCAGAGGGCCCGGTGGTGGTCTATGATCACTCGCTCTGTTAGACCTTCCCTGGCACGAGGGGATGCTTCCCTCGGCTGCAGCCTTTCTTTCACGTGGGACAAGAGCTGCAGGAAGAGAGGCTCAAAATCTTGAGTTTCCTCCCAGTAGGAGAACAGAGGAAGATAATTAATTTGGTATATAAATAAAATAAAAAGAGGAGCTGGTCCCATAGGCTCTGTGGAGAGTCAATGTCTAGAAAAGAATGATGGCAACATATGTACTAATATGTCAAATATAACTGATGTATGGATTGTAACAAGAGTTGTAAGAGCCCCCAATAAAATGATCTCTTTAAAAAAAAAAAAGTTAAATAACAACAAACTCAGAACAAAAAGAATTTGACTTTTTCTCTGTCTAACATCAAATTATCTGTTGTTTTTGGTAATATAAAGTGCTTTCAGTGTTGTGTCAAATCAGGATTAATATTTTCTGTTCTGTGAAAGAGTAAATATGATTTCTCTAAAACTCAAATAAAAATGTGTTTTCAGTGTGTTCTGTGGTTTAAATGATTATGACATGTGTCAGCCCAGCACATCAGGAGTTGTTCAGAGATTGATGTCCTTTCATCTTTGCTGCACAACGTCTGTAAAAGGATATTCATTTTAAGTGAGAATAGCTAATCTCGACTGGGCATTAGCACAGATTATGAGTTGACATAAAGTCTCCTTTAAAAGTGTTGACATTTAGTGTGTGTGTGTTTGGGGGGACGGGGGGCTTTGTGGGTGAGTTCTGACATCCAGAGATGCAAGATATTAAAAGAAAATGAATTTTCCCTTAAGGTCATTGGTAGGTTTTCAGTCTCTGAAACTATTCATTTCTCTGTGCAGTCTGTTGCTTTGTTCTTTCACTCCCTGCCCTGCTCATAAAACCAAAATGAAACAAAAGTAACCCATGCTCATGTTAAATATTAAAATGAAGGATGTGGATTTAGTTTATAGTTCTTAAAGCCACATAAGGATAACTAATGGAAAACTAGAAGGGTCATAATGAGGTTTTGAAAAATAGAATTATCATCATGGTCACAAATCTAATATAATTTTTTTTCAAAATGTGAACATGTTGCCCAAGTGGTATGCAAGTTGGCTCAAACCACTCCATGTAAATAGAGATCAGCCAAATGCTAATTTGTTATGTAATCAGTTGCATCTGTTGTTGTGGAAATTCCCTTCCCCTCAATGAAAGGAAACCAAAGCTATTATTCAGCATGTGTGCATTGAGAATTTGTTGTTGAGCGCCTTCTAGTCAATTCCGACTCATCATGACCTGGGTAGGACAAAGAAGAACTGCCCAGAAAGTTTCACAAGGAGCCCTGGCATAGGTAGTTGTTGGCCTGCTAAACACCACGTAGGTGGCTCAAACCGACCAACAGCTCCCAGGGAGAAAGATGAGATGTATGGTCCTGGAAACCTGCATAGGATCCTTATGAACAACAATGGAGTTGACGGCAGTGGGGTGGGGATTGGTGTAATCTTTACTGGGGCAGATCGTGGGTTTGAACTCATAAGTTTATGGTTAGCAGCTAATTGTTTTAACCACCACACCTTCCAAACTCCTCCTCTTCAGAACTTTAAAGGACAAACAAATACCAAAAGCACTATTAGTCCTTGAGTTAATTTAGACTCTTCCTGACCCTGTGGACCAGAGTAGAACTGTTCCTAGAGAATCATTAAAGAAGTTGATTGTCTCATCTTTCTCTCTCAAAATGGCTAGTGGGTTTGAAATTTTCACCTTTCAGTTAGCAGCCAAAATCTTTAATGTGGCCTCTGCTATTGAGAATGTGTTAGTTGCTCACTCACTCTCTCACTCTCTGCCATAGGGATGCCACAGGGCAAGGTAGAATTGCCCCTGAGGCTTTCTGAGGCTGCAAATCTTCATGGAAAAGAAACTCTGTTTTTCTCTCATATTAGTTGCTAACGATACAAAAATGAATGAGATACCGTCTCCGCATTTGAGGTCCTTGTGATAGAGAAGAAAGACAAGTAGGCATACAATTTTAATCCAATATGATCTGGAAGCAAATTCCATGCAGCTCAACAGAAGTAGGTCAGGGGTTATTCTAAGGGCTATCAGTCATCCAGAACAAGCAGACACCACTGTTTATCCCACAACAAGTAGGGTCCACTCCCTTCTGATAAGGATAGCAGTTTTGTTTCCCTGAAGGAGAGCCTAGGGAGGTCAAGCCCACTCAAGGTTGACCAAGGTTAGGCCACCATTATGATTCTAGGGTCTGCCCTTCTTGTCACATGTATACCCCTAGTCCCTCCCCTTCCTATCATGTGCACACCCCTAGCTCATCCCCTTGCTGTCACGTTTATGGCCCTATTATACATCCCCTTCCTATGATGTGTATGCCTATTATACAGCCCCTTCCTGTGAGGTGTGTGGTTTACCTGTAAACACACCTGCTAAGTAGATATAAGCCTTGGTTAGCAATAGACGGTTCTCTCCCTGGCTCTCTCCTGCCATCAGCCCATGCTGTGTGTGGACCTGGCTGGTAAAATCATGGCCATCCAGGAGGTGAGCATGCTACCATGAAATGTGTCTGACTTCTTTATGTGACACTCTCTCCCATTTCTCTATGCTTTTATTATAATCTGTATATATCTCAACTGTACAACTGCACCTATCGAGCCCACGATTAGTTTGGGGGGCTGGCTTTCCCCACAATGTATGGTTATTTTTTTATTCCATTCTTTCTTGAACCCATCTGTACTCTAATATTTCTTTTAAAATTAAAAAATACCTAAGTCTTGCTAAACCTAATTATTAATTTTGTTCATACTAGGCATATTAACAGTTGTTCAACATGGTCAATTATTCCTTTCTCCTTGAAACATTTTCTTAAAAGTGTCAGGCTCGACTATTCCTTCCATCCTTTGCTATTTCTGCTTTGGCTTTTTAACCTTTAGAAATTGTGCCCCAGGCTACATCTCTTGTCCATCTAAAAATATTTCTTAAGCACGCTTATATATTTTCTTAGTTTTAAATACCATATCTATGGTAAAGACTTCCACATGTTTTTATACCATAGTTTTAAATACCCTATCTATGGTAAAGACTTCCACATGTTTATCTAGTTGAGAACTAATCATTCAATGGCTACCTGCTATTTTCCCCAGATCGACTACCAGACACATCTTCCTTACAGGTTTCAGACTCAGTACTAGACTTCATCATCTCCGTAACTAGTAAAGTATGTCTTCCTTGTTTACATTAGGACAAAAGCCTGGAAGTCATACTTTGCCTTCCCACCCCAGTTTCATACATCAGAAAAAAGCTTTAAAAATGCATCCAGTGGCTGTAAATTATTCCTCACCACTACCCATACCATCCTACTCAGGGCTTTCATGATCTTTTGTGTGTATACTGTGCTGCCCTCAGTGTCTCCCCAATCGACTCCAATAAAATAGTAGTGATATTTGACTTGAAACAGAGAGCATTATCATCTTACTTTGTCCTAAAACCATACATTTGTTTTTGATCCCACTCAGAGTAAAGCTCCATTCTTACATAAATGTCTACAAAATTCTACCTCACCACTAAATGTAATCACTGAGAGCTAAAACTATGGAAACTCTGTGCTCAAATCATTATTATTACATATTTATGTTTATTCCACAGTTCATTTAAGGATGCACAGGCATTCAAACAAAAGAATCAAGAAATCAAGGAGAGCACAGTCTAGTTTGGAAGTTAAACATCACAGAATCCGTGCACTAATAATGTATGGACAGAGTACGTGGGGGCATCAAGAAAGTGCAGTGGAGGTCAGTGGTTAAGTAAAGGTAGCGACACAAAGTGCTTCACTGTGAAAAAGGCATGAATTATTTCTTTAAGAAGGGTTTGGCAAATGCATATAGTATAGAGAAAGGTATTCGAGGGTAGAAAGTAATATGTATTGGTGTTAATTTGGCCGAGGCTTTAATGTATAAACTAAGGAAGTCAGATTTTTTTTAAAATTGTGTAATATCTGAGGAGATAGAAGACTGTGATGAAAATAAAATAGTATAATATTATCTAAAGTGGAGATCAAATTATCCAGTGCAGATAGGTGGGGAAAGACTCTAAGGTATTGTTAAATATAAATGATTACTAGAAAATCATGATGAAATGTTGCAACTGACTGACTGATATATGCTACATTGGGATTAATTTAGTGTGGCCATGGGATAGAAAGATGGCCAGTGTGATTCAAGTACAGCTAACCTGGGAGAATATGGTAGGCAAATAGATTGAACAGATAAGCTGACAGGATCATGTAGGGGCTAGTAGCACTTAGTAAGAACTTAAGATATTCTATGTGATAGAATGGCAGTGCACAGAAGAAAGTTGATTTATAATTGAATTGGTTTTCTCAGATGTTTGTAAAAGGTACAAGGGGGAGATGAAGCAAAACAGGATGAGGATATTATAGTCCTCTGGTCAAGATAAAAACATCCAGATTTGCATGAAAATCATCATAACGGTGAGGAAGAGACAGAAACCAAGAATCCTGGTTTTTTGTTTGTTGGTGTTTTTAACTGAGCTTGAGAAAGGCAGGTGGCATTTCCTGAGATAGTATTATCCTGAGATCGTGGAGTCTGGGTGAGGAAGCACATGTGAATTCCATTGACCAGGCAGTGGGAGGC